CGGGCCACAGCAGAGAGCTGGCCTGGAAGAGGGGCAACCGGGACAGAATCCGGCGCCCCGACCGGGACTAGAAGCCAGTGTGCCGGCGCTGCAAGGCGGAGGATTAGCCTAGTGAGCCGTGGCGCCGGCCCCCATGTTTTTCTTATCATTCGCCATGCCCTGAACTACAGGCTTTTCTTGCCTAGTGCTCAAAGGCTATGAATTACATCTTACACACATTCAGAAAGCATAGAACAGTTATTAAAGAAAGGCATCAAAAACTATAGCAAAGGGATTTCCATTTTCATCAAGTGCTAAAAATTTTAGAGCCATCAGGCAAACTGTTCAACAGCATGTCTATGAGTGAGCCTGGCAGATTTGGGACAAATCTAAGTAACTGGCGCTCAAACAGAGGAAGAAGAATATGCAAGCAAGGGCCTGTGTCCGAAGGAGCCTGGGATTCACCCTTGCCATAAGACAAAGAAGTCTGCTGCGGAGAGAGTTAGCTCTGCAGAAAACCTGACGTGACTGAGAAGCCAGTCTCAAATTGAGTTAGGTTGGCTTATTTTTATTTTTTTTTAATAGAGTCAGCCTGAGGCACAATTTTCAAATGGGGAAAGTTAGCCCTGAACTCATTCACAGCCCTTCTTTCTACACTGATCTTGCCTTTGTCCATCAAGCATTCTCCAGGTTGGTCTTCATGCTGTCAACAGCCAGATTCCAGGAGCCTCAATCCCTGACTCTGCGCAGGCCTGCTCTTTAATGATGGCTCACATCTTCTAACTCTGTATCAAGTACTATGTTTGTGAACAATTCTCTCTTCTTATTTGGAAAACAATCTGATAAATACACAGAACTGTGAAACCTCTGAACAAAATAGGTTTCTTAGAGATTATTTCACATGACTCCTTCATGCCTAACAGAAGCCACGGAGCTGGCATCCTCACAGCTAAGGAGTAGCCAAACCAGGACCACTCAAAACCCTCCTGATTTCCCAACTCATTGCACTTCCATACATACCACTCAGTAATTTATTCCACAAATATTATCTGGGTACCAACCAAGGGCCAGATCCTATGCCAAACTTCAAAATTGGGATCATCAAGATATTAGAGAGCTACTAAAGTTCAGTATTACCCTTTGAATCATTCATTCATTCAAAAATTAACTGAATATACACTGTGTGTTAAATTCTTCTTACAGGTTGATCCAGGAATATCTGAAATGTAATCATTGCAATGGCTTTGGACTAGTTGAACTTAGCTAGTCTGGAACTAAGCTTTCATGAACTCCTTCCTCCCTTGGGTGCAGATTAGGGTTGACCTCAAGAGAAATCTACCCGCAATCCAGAAGAGAGAGGTAAAGCAGTTGTGTTGCAAGGTTGATGAAGGTACTAAGGGCTGTTGTAGATGACATGCTGGTTAGCATGAAGCCACAACCAAAGCAGCAGCTCTTCTAGTTCCATCAGATCTCCCTCCTTCAGTTCTGAATGTCAACTTTGGAGGTGTAGGTGTAAGTTCTAGGTTTTCCTCCCAAGTCCAGCTTTGTTTTCCCCAATTGACAGCTCTGCGGAGCAATACAAACTTCAGTTTATCATCAGACAAGACAGATAACAGCCCTCCTTAAACGTCTTCACCAGTTCCCACAGTATAACAAAGTTAAATTTCTATCACAAACTGCATCTTCCATATCATAAATCCCCTCTTCTTTCACTGACTGAAACTTGATAAATATCCTTAAAGATCCTTTTAATGCAATATTTCTGAAGTATGAGTCATGTGTGAACTCTTTAAACCAAGCAAGTTGTAATTTCCCAGTGTTGAACTTAAATTATTTTTATTATAGGTACAAATATTAATCAAGATAAATTATTAGCTTTGAGTAATAAGTCTAAATAAAATTAAACAATGAAATTCAGTCAATTACATTAATTCAAGGTAGCTGATAACATCATTTTCTGAAAAGAAGTCACAAATGAGCCTGCAGCACAGGATATTATTTTACCATCCCAAACCTGTACTACTGGGTGCTTTGTGATAATTCAATGCCAAAACATCATAATGTACTCCATAAATATAAATATGCACAATGATATGTCAATTTAAAAAAGAAAAGAAAAATACTTCTGGCCTGTTCTATATTCTATATTCAAATATTCAAATTATTACAAAGCCTTCTTTCATACAGCTTTCTGGGGGTGTCATTTACCTTCACTTGGTGCAAACACATTATGTAGTGACAAATTTAAACTCTAGTCTGCCTAGTAAATATTAAGACATTAACTTTACTAGTGCCCAGGTTGACTACTTCAATCCCTCCTTTTTGCTCATGCTGCTCCCTGGGGACCCCACCCTTCCAGGCTTAGTTGAATTCCTCATCCTGGCAACTAAGACAATCTTTCCCAAGAGAACAAGGCATTCAACTTCCTACGCACAAGAGCTGCCAGCCAAAGAAAAGCCAACTCTTTATTGGAGATCAGAGAGCAACACACACCCAGTTCTGCCATATGTTGGAAAATCCAATAAAAGAGTAAAGACTGTCTTCCTGCTTCTTCATAATAATCCAGAATAGCCAATAGCTGCTACACAGCTTCCAATCATTTGGAAATATCAGCCTGAAAGGTCAAACTCTGGCAAGCTCCACACTCAGACTAAGAAAGCCTGTGATAGACATGAAAACTTCAACTGCCCAACTGGGCTACTGGACCCCCTTTCTTGTTTTTGTTTTTGTTTTTTTTTTTTAGAAAGCTTTTATTTAATAAATATAAATTTCGTAAGTACAACTTTTGGACCACAGAGGTTCTTCCCCCCATACCCATCCTCCCACCTCCAAACTATCCCACCTCCTACTCCCTCTCCCATCCCATTCTTCATTAAGCTTCATTTTTAATTATCTTTATATACAGAAGATCAAATCTATACTAAGTAAAGATTTCAAGTTTGCACCACACAGACACACAAAGTGTAAAGTACTGTTTGAAGACTAGTTTTATCGTTAATTCTCATAGTACAACTCATTAAGGACAGAGGTCCTACATGGGGAGCAAGTGCACAGTGACTCCTGTTGTTGATTTAACAATTTGCACTCTTATTTATGAAGTCAGTAATCACCCGAGGCTCTTGTCATGAGCTGCCAAGACTATGGAAGCCTCTTGAGTTCACAAACTCTGACATTATTTAGACAAGGCCATAATCAAAGTGGAAGTTCTCTCCTCCCTTCAGAGAAAGGTACCGCCTTCTTAGATGGGCCCCCTTTCTCACCCAGAAAGCCATGGAGCATCAAAGGGCTTGTAAAGCTTACAAAGGACTGCCAGACTCTGATAACAGAACTACTGCTCCAAGTTATATTTAACCCTCATGTGACTCAATTCACACAAATCTAGAAGACATTTCCAAAGCCTCAGACACCATACACTTGTAATCATGCTTATTTGTAAAAACTAGCTTAGTTGTTGCTTTTCTACATGTGGAGTGGAATTAAAATCTGTGCTTCAACTTGAATTTACCTTCAATTTGAATTTAGGCTCAACTGTGCTTCAGTTTGAATTTAGGCTCAACTGGTCATCAGTGAAGCAGTAAAACTGCTTGTGGGACTCCTCTGCCTCAAATGATAAAACTGGAAGCGTCAAATGCTCAGATAAATCTAGGGAGAGAAGACCCATGATAAATTTGTAATAAAAGCTTGAATGTGAAGAAGGCAGCAGTGCCAGATGTTGGTGGCACCCAGGTCTCCCCACAACCTCCTACTCTCACTCTCCAACAAGTCAGGTGCAGACACTACTGGACTAGGGCTCCCTGAGCCACACTGTAATGTCCCCAAGGCAAGCAAGCAGTGCTGCTTTCCTGGAAAAATCTGCCACTGTGCAGGCCCCTCCTCCAAGGCTCATTCTCCCTGTGGGAAGTCACTGAATGAAATGAAATCAGATGTGCAAAAGAAGGATGGTCACAATCACAGTAAAGGCTGCTGTTCCCCTGAGCCTTATTGCACACCAGACATGGTCCTTAAGCCTTGACCAATAGTCTCCCATTTCATTGTCACAACAGCCTTTCATTTTTCAAAAACAGAGTGGGGGCTTAAAAAAGGTGAAGAATCTTGCCCACTCTACTATATAGGTGAGGAAGGAAGTGGGTTCCATTTGATATCAAATCCCAGCTCTTGGCCATTCACTCCTCCAACCTGCACTTGGCACAGCTGTGTTAGCACAGTATGACTTCTCTCACCTTACTGAATTTTATTACAGGTTTGAAATCTCTTTCACCTGCCCATTCCCAATTAAATGAGAAATAAGCCTCCTGGTATATATTTTCCATATTTCTTTAAAAACATCTTTTTTAATATTTACAGCCAAGCATTGTTTAAACCCCAGTATGTGCCACATGAGGTATATCTTCCCTTCAAGAAGCCTTTTACATCAGTTTAACAATTGCTTACTTTAGTAAGTACAATTGTTAATCACAGAGCTGTTATGCCAATCAAACCTTTTACACTACTAGTTTTAACCAAAATATTGTTTATTTAACCTATATCCCATGTGAGCAGGGATCATGTCTCCCTTAATGTCTGGTCTGTTGTTTGGCTCAAAGATTCATAAAAAAGAATAAAGGAGAGGAGGGAGAGAAGAAGAAACAGAGAGTGATACTTAAAATCCCTCCATCCCTTGAAGGCTAGGTGTAGAGATACACAGCAGTTACCCTGAAATAGCTATAAGTCAAATGAGGGAAACAGAGTTGGAAACAAATAATTAAGACATAGCCAAAGGAACAGTACCTATCACAGTAGTAGGTGCAAGGTAATGTGAGAGCTGGGATGGGGCCTGTGAAGACTTCCCAGAGGAATGATAGCCAACATTGAAGAAAGCATGGTGTAGGGAACTGGGAACCAACCACTGGGAAAAGCTGTGAGGAAACCAGGTCAGGTGCTTCACCATACAATTTTATTTAAGTTCCCCAGTAATCCTGGGTGATGGGCAATACCAGGAACATTTTTACAGGAGAAAACTGAGAGTTGAGATATTAACCTACCTGCCAAAGATCACAGCTTATAAATCTTGGATGCAGAAGTCCACTGCTTTCCCATGGATGGTCTGGCTAGCAAGCTGGCCACTTAAGCTGCAACCCTCTTCTATTGTTCTTGAGAGTTTCCAGGTTTTGCAGTTCATTTGATGATTTGGCTTTTACATGAACAAAGAAGTTTGTTTTCATGGCTGATCCTCCTTTCATTCTTTAGACTCTCCTGCCCTCTTGTGGCTTTGGAGTGTTACAGCCACTTGTGTTGCCTCCCAACATCACAGAGAATGTTGATCTAATAATGAGCCCTGGACTGCAGCCTGATCCCCTCCTTGTTTAAAAACCAAAACAAAACAAAGCTTGAACTAAGAGTACTTTTGCAAATATTTTCAAACAATAACTCATGGTTTTAACTGGTCATACATATTTCAAATAGTCAAAGATCCACCCAAATAGAGGTGGAAGGGGGGAAGAGGAGGAGGCAAGCATACATCACATTCTGTGACGGGAGGTAGTGCTTGCATCCTTACAAAGCCCAGCTCCAGGGAAGTATGACGTCAATGTAAAGCATAACATCTATGGCACCAAAAGGCGGGAAAATTATCACCCCTGAAGGAGCTTCCATTTGAAGTTCTGGATCCTGGTGACTTGTCCACCTGGCTACACTTTTGCTGGTGGGAACAACGCCATCATCCAGTTATGAAAGAGGCAACAATCTGTCCTCTGAGAGGGGACATGAAAACTACAAGCATGTGGATCCCAGACCTGGAGCTTGGTTTCAAAGCAAGTATTTGAGAAATGACTACAAACAGCAGCACTACTAGTTTTGAATTTTGTTCTTCAGAATTCTTGCTAACTTCAGATGAGTGCACATGTGAAATGGACCTCACCCCATCCAGCAGAGGAGGCTATAGCATACAACTAACAGAGAAAAAAGATGTTTTATTTCCAGGAAAATTGTCCAACATTCATCACTCTTAGTAGAGAGGGTAGGAAACTGGGATTCAAATGCATAGTGAAGAATTTAAGTTAGATGCAGGAGAAATTTCCACAAGGAGTGTGAATGATAATGTGATGTGTTGCAAAAAAAATTAGATTTAAAATTTGATGGCTGAAATTTTGATTCTTGTTCTGTCACAAACATGCAGTGTGACCTTAGGGAGAGTGGTGTCTCTCTCTGAGTGTCAGTCCGCTTCCTGCGGGGAGACACAGCTAAAGCAAAAGAATGATATGAAATGTATGAAGTTACACTAAGTCTCTGTCTATTCAATCTGACACATTTACAAGTCCAAGATTCTACGATGCTTCCCTTGTGAGGCTGTCAAGAACATTTCAAACTGCCTCCATTTGTTTGGACATGGGTAGAACTGGAGCCAGAAGAAAAACTGAAATGACCTTTTCCAGTGGCCTTCTCTTCCAAACTCAAGAGAATTTAGGGATGCCTCCTAAATAGGCTGAAGGCCTAATGAATAATAGAATCCTAGCATCTCAAGGTTTTATACTTTTTTTTTTTTTTTTTTTTTTTTTTTTACGGGCAGAGTGGACAGTGAGAGAGAAAGACAGGGAGAAAGGTCTTTCTTTTCCGTTGGTTCACACTCCAATGGCCACTGTGGCCGGCGCACTGCGCTGATCCGAAGCCAGGAGCTAGGTGCTTCTCCTTGTCTCCCATGTGGGTGCAGGGCCCAAGGACCTGGGCCATCCTCCACTGCACTCTCAGTCCACAGCAGAGAGCTGGACTGGAAGAGGAGCAACCGAGACAGAACCAGCACCCCAACTGGGACTAGAGCCTGGTGTGCCGGCGCCGCAGGCGGAGGATTAGCCTATTGAGCCACAGCACCGGCCCAGGTATTATACTTTAATGGTCATCTAATCCAACCCCTGAATTGTCTTTAAATCTCCCACTAACCTATCTGTTCCTTCTTAAATGCTTCCATTGCTGGTAAACTCATTCTTTCCAAGGTGATCAAAGCAATCTTTGAAACTCTGTTCATACTTACCTAAAATTGCCCTCACTATAACTGCTACTCATTGATTCTAGTTTTATACTTAGCATAAAAACAGATTTAATTCTTCATTCCCAAAATGGTTATTCCTATATTTTAGGGCATTGATCATTATTTCTTATGAGTCTCCTAAAACCCACAATCCTTTCAGCTGATCTCTGCCTTATTTTATTTCAAGCTTTTCACCTAGGCATTTTCTTGTGTCCAGATCTCTTTCAAGTGTCTGTATGTAAGCAATAAGGCAGCAAGGCAGCACAGCGATTGAGAGAATGGATTCTGGAGCTATACTGTGGGGTTCAAATTCTAACACTCAGCCGGCACCGCGGCTCACTTGCCTAATCCTCTGCCTGCGGAGCCGGCACCCCGGGTTCTAGTCCTGGTTGGGGCGCCAGATTCTAGCCCGGTTGCTCCTCTTCCAGTCCAGCTCTCTGCTGTGGCCCAGGAGTGCAGTGGAGAATGGCCCAGGTCCTTGGGCCCTGCATCTGCATGAGAGACCAGGAGAAAGCACCCGGCTCCTGGCTTCAGATCGGCACAGCGTGCCAGCCGCAATGCACTGGCCGTAGCAGCCATTTGGGGGTGAACCAACGGAAAAAGGAAGACCTTTCTCTCTGTCCCTCTCTCTCTCTGTCTAACTCTGCCTGTCCAAAAAAAAAATTCTAACTCATTAAAATTTGCATGATTTTTGAAAAGTTATTATTTGTGTGGCCTTAGACAAGAATTTGTATATCTTCCTTTTCTCATCATAAACTATGAATTGATGAGTTAATATATGCAATATATTTAAAACAGTGCCAACCCTCGTGGGAGACCTGGAAGAAGATTCTGGCTCCTGGCTTCTGGCTTCAGATCAGCTCAGCTCCAGCCATTGTGACCATCTGGGGAGTGAAACAGCAAATGGAAAATCTGTTTCTCTCTCTCTCTCTCACACACACACACACACACTGCCTCTGCTTCTCTGTAGCTCTGCCTTTCAAATAAATAAATACATCTTAAAAAAAAAAAAACAGTGCCAAGCACAATGAAAGTGCTCAACAAATTATATCTGTAATTACCGAAACATGGCTTCACAAGGTAGGGTAAGATAATCACTTCCTTCATACTAAACATTATACTTTTATTAACTTTTTTAAAGATTTATTTATTTATTTATTTATTTGAAAGTAAGAGTTACACGGAGAGAGGAAAGGCAGAGAGAGAGAGAGAGAAAGAGGTCTTCCATCCACTGGTTCACTCCCCAGTGAACAGCTGGAGCTGCACTGATCCGAAGCCAGGAGCCAGGAGCTTCTTCTGGGTCTCCTATGTGGGTGCAGGGGCCCAAGGACTTGGGTCATCTTCTACTGCTATCCCAGGCCATAGCAGAGAGCTAGATCAGAAATGGAACAGCTGGGTCTCGAACCAGCGCCCATATGGGATGCCAGGCCAGGGCATTAACCCACTGCACCACAGCGCCAGCCCATATACTTTTATTAATTTAAGAATTCATTAGCTATTTTACAGTCTACTGGCACATGAAAGGAAGTCCAATGGTTCATCTTTGATGGTGTCCCATTGGCCAAAGCCCAGAGTTCCAATGAGAACAGAGAGGGGAATTAGTGAAGCCATTTTGCAAACTATCAGAGTAAACCAAAATCGGTTCTGATATTCAAGTTCTCAGAAACAGACATCCTGTGCAATGTTTTTCAGAAGTTTCTGGAGAAAGTACCCAACCAAAACAAGACAGTAAATCAAGAAAAAATAAGACTTGGAATCCAGAAAACAGGAGATCCATCTCAAAAGGAAATTCCAGAAAAATGTTTTTGGGAGATCAAAAGATGCTTTGTGGCAGACCTGGAGAGTAATAAGTTCAAAATCGAGCAGGTCAGAAGGGCTCCTAAAGAGACTTCTCCAGAAAGGTGAATTTGATAGAACACTTTAAGTGTTCCACCCCACTGAAAGGCGGTTTTGACAGTTGGGGAAAATGTTTGGGGTTAAAATGGTAAAAATATAAGTAGAAAGGCAAGTTAAAAATTAAAATTGTTTAAATCTAGTAAGAAGCAAAACATTGTGCAAGAAAGGAGAGGGATTTATTTTTGCCACCATTATAGCTCCAGTAATTTTGCTTTGCATTTATTTTGTTTATTTTTTTTTATTTTTTTTATTTTTTTGACAGGCAGAGTGGACAGAGAGAGAGACAGAGAGAAAGGTCTTCCTTTGCCGTTGGTTCACCCTCCAATGGCCGCCGCGGCCAGCGCGCTGCGGCCGGCGCACCGCGCTGATCCGATGGCAGGAGCCAGGAGCCAGGTGCTTTTCCTGGTCTCCCATGGGGTGCAGGGCCCAAGCACCTGGGCCATCCTCCACTGCACTCCCTGGCCACAGCAGAGGGCTGGCCTGGAAGAGGGGCAACCGGGACAGAATCCGGCGCCCCGACCGGGACTAGAACCCGGTGTGCCGGCGCCGCTAGGCGGAGGATTAGCCTACTGAGCCGCGGCGCCGGCCTGCTTTGCATTTATTTTGTAACCAGCAGATTGAAGAATTGGAATTTCAAATCATTGGGAAACAAACACAAAATTTTTAATCACTATTTTCATTCACACTCTGTCAACTCTTCCTTCCCTGCTCAATAGTAAATCCTTCAACACTTCAAGCAAGTACCATAATTTTCCAATTATTTTCACCTATTAAGACTCAGTGCCATCCTATTAATAACTCTGGACTATATCTGATTCAAAGTTTTCCCTGGAGAGGGCTTAGAGGGATTTAGCCTCTGGCTGGAGGGACCTGGAGCATGAAGGAAGACAATCTTTATTGTTACACTCCCCTCACTAGGTCCCCTTCATGGGGAGATGGAAGCATGTGATGGAGATAGCAGGTATTTGTTGACAACAAACACCTTCTTACTTACCTGGAGTCATTACAACTCTCTCTCTCTCTCTGGCCAACCTTGGCAGGTCACGTGAGCAGATGTCCGGATGACTCCTGTGAAGCTCACAAGTTGACTGGAGAACAGTGTAGGGGCCTCCTCCATACATGGTTTGCTGATGTGGGAAATCCTGCTCTAGCTCTGGCTCTTGTGTTTTTTTTTTTTTTTTTTGACAGGCAGAGTGGACAGTGAGAAAGAGAGACAGAGAGAAAGGTCTTCCTTTGCCGTTGGTTCACCCTCCAATGGCCGCCGCG